GGTTTCCGATCACTGTCAGTGGCAGGGGGCTTCTTCCTGCTTTCCCTTTCGCCTCCCTGCATTGTGCCTACATATGCAAATTAACCACCATCTTGTTGGCGGTTAATTTGCATATAGCCCTGATTAGCCAATGAAAAGGGTAGCGTCGTACGCCAATTACCATTTTTCTCTTTTATTAGTGTAGATTATTATTATTTTGAGAATGCTGTGCTCTCATGGGTTTGCACTCAAAATTTTTTTCATACTGCTGAAACCAAAAGTCACTGCAAATGCATTTTTATTCAATCCCAGAACATTCCAGCAAAGAGCAGATAAAATTTAACATTTCCATAATGTTCCTGTGTGACAGCAAATATCATTATTGAAAAGGGAGTGAATCTATGGAGGGGGTGAATATAATTGACTCATCAAAAATCTCATAAAAGCATTGCTTAAATACTTTTAAATACCATGCACTCCTTCGCAGATAAACAGACAGCAGGATGGACTACGCAATATATTTACTAGCTATTCATTCCACACTATATGCATGTGAGAAAGTCTTTGATTTATATTCAGTGTCTAGCTTTTTTTAAAGCACTGAGCTAATTATTCAGAGTAGGAGGTTTCAACCAGGGACACAACTAGCATTATGAATAAGGCCTTTGGTTGATCACAAAAGGGCACCCCCAAACTAGACTACTTATGATTTGTCAAACAAAACCGGGGTAGATTTTAGTCTCTCCGCACCCTTTGGCCTGGCCGTTGAAACCATGCAATTATTCACAGATCCATGTCTTCAAGACTAAAGAAATCTCCAGTTTTATGTGCCAAGCTACATTCTTATTCCCAGCAACTCAACTCAAAATTGCATGCCTACTACACTCGAGAGTGGAGTTGAGCCCTGGCTAGTGTTCTCAATGGTTAGAGCACTGGCCCCTGCATGGAAGAGTCATGGGTTCGATTCCAGGTCAAGGGCACGTACCTAGTTTGCAGGTTCGATCCTGCATGCAGAAGGCAACCAATCAATGTGTCTCTTACATTGATGTTTCTCTCTCTCTCTCTCTCTCTCTACACCTCCCTCCCTTCCACTCTCTCTAAAAATCAATGGGAAAAATATCCTTGGGTGAGGGTTAACAAAAACCAAAACACACAAAAAATTATTTTTAAAAAAAGAGGGTCAAAGGGGGGAAATAAAGGGGACATATGCAATACTTTCAAGAATAAATATGTTAAAAAAAAAGAAGAAAAAAAAGAGGAAAGCTGAGAGAAGGATAACTGATACATTAGTGTGATCACTGTTAACATTTCTATATAACAAAGATGATGTTACCCAATACTGTGACTAAAAAGCTTCAGTTATTCAGTGAGTATACAGTTGATGAATATATATGTAATAGTTTTTCCACAAAAATTCTGAAGAGGTTCTTGCAACCATCAGAGAATGAAATGATACAGTGTTACTACAGCTGTTGCTGTTTTATTCTTCAAAATGATGAAGGCTGTAATTTACTACTTCTTTGTTTAATATTTATATAATAAAGTACTTGGCTAGTTAAATTGTATAATATGTGTATTCTATAATGTGCTATACCCATACAAGTTGTCGATGTTATTATCTAACAGCATCTTAAACAAAAAATATACTCTAAAAGTGAACTATTCAATCAAAAAACCAAGCATTTTGTCTATACATAATAGCAGCATTTTCATTTTTGTATTCTAAAGTGAGATTTACCAGAATTGTGAGATTGCTAAATGAGGGCGAGTCTGCTATTACAACTTGCGAAGATAAAAGCAGCACACACTTTTATCACTCCAGAACATACCTTGAAAGACGGTCAGTCCAAACGGATGTGTCATCTGCTGTATATGGCCCAGGACTCGTCTGTCTAAACCATCAAAGGTGCTGTGCTCAATTTTATCAAATAAGGCATCTACCCAGTACAATCGTAAAGCACTAAAATAATAAAGTATTTAGTTAGTTGTTATCCAGAAAATAGCAAATGAGGATATTCAAAAACAGTATGTTCCATTGACACATTTAATAAACATTTTTAAAATAAATTATACTCAATAAAATTCAAGTTTTATGCATCCACTTCCCCCCACCCCCCAAAAAAAGATATAGCTACTTTTATGTAGTGATTTTCAATTAAGTGTCTCAGAAAACTTGAAATGTTGTCAAGTTAGGAATTTTTCTCCTTGTTAAATAAATAAATGAAGAAAAATATTGGTAGCTAATTATGTTTGAAAAGTTAAATTCATTTCTTCCCTATTTTCTCCTATAAACTACTTTGGCATATCTATAAGCTTATTTACCCTGTCACTTTTTCCTATACTCCTAAATAGATCATCAATTTTTTGAGAATTATATCTACTTCAAAAATTCTCCCAGAGTAAATATAGACAAATATACATTTGATTGACACCAAAGATTTTCTAGCCTCAAGATGCTCCCTCTAACAATTACACATGACCTCCATTTCATCAAATCCCTATCCTACTTCTAATGAGGTTTAGGCCTTATCTCCTCCATACTGACCTTCTACGAGGTCATATCATTCTGCTCCTTTAGCAATTTCCTCAGAATATTCATGAATGTGGTAGTTTTTGTCCCAGCAGAAACTGGTGTCTTTTATGTTGTTACTAGGGACGCAGTGCACAAATTTGTGCACCTTGAAAGGAACTGTGGGCTGAGAGGCTCTGGTGGGTACAGGGGCGGGCATGGGAACTCAGTAATTTAGGGTGATTCCTACTTACCCCCAATCAATGGCCAATCCATTGGGCCATCCAAGAGTAGTATTTACTATAGGCAAAAGGTTAGATCCATCTCCCCACGCTCTCATAATTTTAGCAGGACGGAACCAATCAGTGAAGAATATATACCTACAAAAAGCAGTGATGAATCAAAGATGTTAACACTGGGACATATTACATACCTTAGAAAGATTTAACACAAACACAGATTCTCCAGGGACTTGCTGCAGATAATTTCATTTTCTTTATATGCTATTAGGCTTCCATGGGGAGAGGGGGGCAAGTATCTGTTTATTGAGCATATTTAGTATACAACTGATCTAATTCTTAATTAAAGGTTCAATTTTCAATATATCACCAAATCCACAAAGACAAATAACATGAAATGGACATCCAGAGCAGAGCCACTGTACCAGACATAGGACCTACAATTATGTCATCAAGTAGATTTTTTTTAAAGACACAAATTTAAGTTACATTTTAAATATTCCATGTTGTTCAAATGAAATAATAAGCTGTGAGCAAGAAAATGATTTTTCTCTGGATTTAACATCCTGGATCCACTACATCACTCTTCAGTCATCTTCCACGAGGAATAGATTAATTTGTAGGCAAGCATTTCATCCCTAATGAAAATGACTCTTAAATATTATCTTACTCAGAACATCTCTTTTTATTCTAAGGAGCAGCAAAAAGATAAGCTTTTGTGGGGGGAGGGGGGTTTCTTTCATAAGAGCCTTAGGAATTAAATTTAGTCTTTTCTGAAATATGATTTCATATTATTTAAATGGAGTCATTAAGAAAGGAATGTAACAGCTTTTCAAAACCAAATGCCAAAAATTTAGTTTAACATAAATTCATTCAAAAATCAACAATTTAACTCTCTAGTCTATAGGGTAATAAAATTTCTTATCAATAATATTGGTTTTCTTATGTTTATTTCATAAGGAGAAAATTAAAATATAATATATTATAGAGACAGAATACAGTTATTAGACACAGGCTTTCCAGTCAAACAAGAATTTAAATATTACCTGTTGCTTAAAAAGTGTGGAACCCTCAACATGATTGAGCATTGACCTATGAACCACAATTCCCGTCAGGGCACATGCACAGGTTGCAGGTTCAATCACAGTAGGAGGCGTGCAGGAGACAACCTATCACTGATGTTTCTCTCTCTCTCCCCCTTCCCCTCCCCCTCTCCCTCTCCCTCTCCCTCTCCCTTCTTCTCTGAAATCTTTAAAAATATATATTTTTTAAAGTGTGGGTTCCTGAGCAGGTTACTTTATATCTCTCTGAGCCTCAGATTAATTATCTCTAAAACAGGCATTATATATACCCCACTCACAAACTAGCTTTCGGATTAGATGACATTGTACATGTACAGTGCTTACTATGTGCCAAGTGAACAGGCTTTAGTGAATTATCAGTCTTTTTTTCTTCTGTTGTTCCATTCAAATACAACAGGTGCTGGGACTTGGGTGGTCTTACGGTGGTGTAGTGTGGCAGGATTCCAAGCAGTCCCACCCAGGACCACCTTGCAGACCCAGACCCATGCTAGGTACCAGCAGGGGCCTATAGCACCCCACCAGCTCCTTGCTCTGCATTAGGTGAACTTGGGTGAGTTTTCTTGGAATTCTGGACCTCCCTGTCTTAAAGTAAGGGGCCAATTTTGTCTGAGCTGTCTTTTTCTCCAAAAAATCCCTGAGGCGGAGCTAAAGGTTAAGGGTTAAGAGAACACAGACTAAAGATAAGAGTCAAGATAACTAAAGGGGGGCTGGTTTTTTAACTTTGGCTTTTTTTTTAACTTTTTTAACTTTGGGATTGCTTAGTTCTGCTGCATATTCACTCCTTCCCTAATGAATCTGTATCACATTGTTTGGTCCCCTGCAATTGTGGGAGGAAAAACAACCACTTCTATTAAGACTAGGGAAGTTGAAACTAAGAAAGTTTTTTGAAGGAGATGAAGTGATTACTTAAAGGGATAAAATTTAAGGTGATTTCAATTTATATAGTTAATCTTTTATTTGCTGAACTTGCCAAATCCCTATGACATCACTTTTCATTAACTCTAAAAGCTATTCAGTTTCAAGCTCTCGGGAAAACAAGAACACACTTACCCAGCAATAGGATGAACTACGATTGATCGTGGATTATTTAAATTCCGGATTATTTCCCGTCTCGATTTATCAGCTAGCCTCATGACACTCACACTCCTATAAGAAAGATCTGTCCAATAGAGATTCTTTGAAATCCAGTCAAAAGTCAAACTTTCAACACTTTCCACCCTGTTAGCTGTGAGAATTTCTCTTCCTGTAAGTTAAAATATGGACATGGTTTAAACTAAGCATATTTTAGACATACATTTTCCTCCTACTGCATATATAAATTTCGTGTCAGAGTTGGAGCACATTTCAGTAACATTCAAAATTCTTTAAAAAAAAAAAAAACTGAGCTACAACATGAGATGAACCTAGAATATATCCATGCCCAAAAGTTTAGAATGGATATAATTCTGATACATAGAACCAGGAATGATCTGGCTTGGGTTTCCTCCCTTGTTCGAGGGGAAAAAAAAAAATTCTCATTGCAGAACATCTGAAGAAGAGATACCTGAGTTCACATGCACACAAACACCACCCTCAGACAGCTCTGATAAGCCGACACTGCCAGGTACGACTGGGGGATATCTCTGCGGTATGACCGCCCAGCCCTCTCATCAACAGCCTTTCATAGTCACAGAGTTGCCAAGTTTGGAAAACACCAGCAAAAATACCAGAAAGGAAATTAGAACTAGGTACAGGGAAAAGAAAAGAAAAAAAAGACCACTTTCCTCTTTGTGAAATTTTTATGCCTTTTCTCCTCTTTTCCCTTTTCTCACCATAGAAAATCTAAATCAGGGTAAAAATTTCACCTCTTTCTTTCAAAGTAGGAAAACCAATCATTGTGCTTTCTCCACTCATTTTCCAGAAAATTGTAAAACATTCCACCTATTCAGATTTAGAAAACACAATATTGCTAATAGTACTACTCATAATAGCTTATATTGAGCACTTACTTTGAGCCAGGAACTGGCCCACATACTATTGTACAGATGAGGAAACTGAGTCATAGAGAAGTGGGGACACTGTCTTCAAGGTATTTATAATAAAGTGAGAGAGAGAGAGAGGGAGGGAGGCAATTAATCCGAGAAGCAAAAATAAAATAGTAATAGGTGCTGTGATGGAGGAATGCACAGGATATGGTATGAAAGCAGTCTCTGAATGGAGACTATGGGAAGGTGACGGTGTGGAGAAGTTTCCCAAAGGGAGTGGTAAATTGAGGGGCTATAAGAAAGCAAGGACTGGGAGGGAGGCGAGGAGGGAGGGAGGGAGGGAGGGAGGAAGGGG